TGTTTTTTTGTGTGTGTGTGTATTCAATTTTTGTCCCTTCCCAGTACCTCCGGTATTTCACCTCTCGCCGGCCAAGTCAACAGTCACGTACGGTTCAAACCTCACACTTGCTTGCTCTGTGAGCAGCTTTCCAGCTCTCATCTCCCTCACTTGGAGCCACCGGCACGACGACCGACATAAAGGTCACGACACCATAGCAACATCGACAATGCAAACACCGCCCATGGCTCCATCGATACTGTACAACTGGACAATCACCCTTGACCTCGAGTGGGTTGCCAAAATCGACGGGGGCGACTACGAGTGCATCGCAACGTACGCCCGTGAACCACACGGGAACACAAGCAGCATGGAGTCGGTCGGCAGTGTGTCGGTGGATGTTGGCAGTAGTGCGGACGAAGAGGCAGCCCCCATCCCCTCCGCCTTTGCCAAGAACAGCCTTGTGTGGATCGCCAGCACAGTGATTGCCGGTAGTGTCGTGATCGCTATGGCAACGTACATGCTGGTGAAGTCGTCACACAGGAAGCGGAGCACCTCCCTCTCCATTGCACTTACGGGTAAGGAAAAACAGTCACCTCTCATTCTCTTCTTCCTCTCCTCTCTTTTCCTTCTCATTTTAAAATGAAGTTTATAGTTACAACCGTGGTTGGTTACCACCCTTTGTCTCATTTTCACTATTAACCCTTTGCCGGTCTATCTCAATGTATGTGAGGGGTGGTGACGCACATACATGTACACACAACCAGCAATAACTCAAGAACCATGTGATGTAGGTATGGGTAAACCATATATTTTCAAAATCTGTATGCCTGAACGCGTCCAGAAAATTCAAATATGACTAGGTCCAGGCAAGGATAGGGCCCATGGTAGCCCTTCAAATTGAGAGAAAATACAATTGCGAATGAAATACACGAATATCACAGCACGAAGGGCATACCAAGTTCGTGATGGAGCTGAAGTCGTACGATAAACAATCAGGTAAGGGCTACATCTTTACAAGAAATGTAGGATCTCTACAATACCGCCATTGAACACCAACACCTCGCCATCGGCGATACGCCAGCAGCAGCAATTCCCATTCCACGATATCGCAGCATCGGTTTGTTCATCTCAGGGCTGCTCGCGTCAGATTCACTCTCGCTCAGATGAGCACTCAGGCGCAAGCTTACGCATGCCGTGATTCTCACGGCCGGGCGAATCAGCTGATCGCACCTGACGAGTCCTTGTGACTCTGTCGCCGTGTCGGCAGCAAGAAGGCTTCCTCTCTGTTTGGAGAATTTTGTTTCTTCATTCGTGGACGATATATTTTTGAACTAGCAGGACTCAACGGAGCTCTTTTTCTCAACACACTACACTGCAAAACCTCCCGGGAGATCCAGCCTGGACTGGTGGTGTTACTGCTCTCAGAACGCTTGTCAAACACGGCCCCAAGAGATGCACTCGCATTCTCGAAATGCACGAATGGCGGATGGTCGTCTTTTCCAATTTCAACAAACTCCAGTCGTTCGATACGGCAAAAATTTGTATGGTAAGCATGGTTGTTTTGTACATCGTCAGAAAGCCTTGGACCTCAGCTACGCGTAGAACGCCATTTTAGCTGTCTCCTAGCAACAAGACCCCCAAAAAATGAGGGCCAAACGTACCGATACTATAGTATCGGTTCGCTTATGGTAGACCGGTAAAGGGTTAATAAAGTTCATTTCAAAAGTCCAGACCTCTGGTTTCAAAAAACCGTTAAGGCCAGCATCTATACCACATAAAATCTGTGATCACTTTGTGCATAACATTTCCGAAGGTGTTGGGTTTGTTGCAATGTCGCTGTCCAATTGCCACAAGGAATACTCTACCTTTGGAAGTGTTCCTTTGGTATGTGTCCTTGCATCCGCGTGGGCATTTGTGCTTGCATATGCACATATGTGCATGTGCCTGTATGTGTGTGTGTGTATGTGTGTGTGTGTATGTGTGTGTGTGTATACCTGTATGGGAATGCAGAGTCGTCTGAACGCATTAGCAGTTTAGCACACGCTACTTACTGGTAAATGGCCGTCTCTTGCGCCACAACTGAGATGATGACATCACGATGAAATCAGGACACTATGATGACATCATGACACTATGATGACATCATGGTGACACAATGATGTCATCATGATGACACACTATGATGACACCATGATGATAACAGTTGCACGTGCTGTTCTTTTCATGCAGATCATGAGAGTGTAACGAGCACCATGATGCATAACATGAACCGCTGCACGAGCACAACACTGACGACGCGTCAAGCGTATTCCCGTTCCGCGGCTCTATTTCAGCGCTTCGGCTTCTCCAGGAAGACGCCTTTGCCGGAAACGCCATCGTGCAGCAGCGGAATGGACGCGGTGAGCTCCAGAATCTCCAGCACTGAGATGGTCGAGTCGGAGATGCTATGCACGGCATCGTTCCATCAGCAAGCGGCTTACAGCTCTACAGGAAACACTTCGACGGCGGCGAGACGAAACTCGGCGGATGCAGCACTGAATCGGTACGAGTGTAGCAGCCGACGACGCATCAGCAACGATTACAACCGCTTCCCGCTGCGGTCAAAGTCCCTGCATCTGAAAAAAGAACTCGTCGTCGGCTCCTCGCCCAACTATGACGTGATGCAAAGCGGAATCCAGCACCCGACCGCGTCCGTGGACTCAGACCTGGTCGCTTCTCAGAATGTCGGCAATAAGAGCGGTGTGGGATCTGACACCGAGTACTCCTGCTACAATATTATTAGCAACCGAAAACGCCTCAGTACAGAGATTTCTGTGCTGCCACCGTTGGATAAGCGCGATTCACAGGATAGTGAAGGTAGGCCTTCTGCTTGGTTTTCACAAGACATTCTGGAGTCAGAGAACAATGTTGTCGGGTGATTAAGAACTAGTAGGGGGGGGGGGGGGGGGGTCAGCCTCGTAGCCTGGATCAATCTTATAAACTAGCAGGATACGCCCAGGTAGAGCCACCTTGCATACCTCGCTATTTTTTTTTCTTTTACAAAGACCACTTAAATGCCAAACATGAGATGCAGCTAGGGGAAGCACGCACAACCTGAATCGTGGCAGTGGTGGTGGGGGGGGGGGGGGGGGCTATGCTGCGCTTGGCGAAATTCTAGCCTGTCCGTTCTTCGGCACTACGTGCTTCGGCGCTCAACCGTACTCCAGTCTAATCTTTCCCACCATGCTCTCTCATTGCTCTGCATGGACATTTTCCGACACGGCCATAAGAACAGACACTGCGATCTGAACCGGTTCCATAAACTCAGTAGTGTCTTGTCTAAACGCTTGGCTCACATCCATGGGAGAAACCTATTTGGAATACATGCCTGATTTTCATAATACACTGGCGGCACATATACAGCCTGATTTTTAGTGCTGACATGCTTAGAAATCGACCCGATTCGAATAGAAGCCTGGTGTGAAAAACAGGCGCGTAGGATAGCTTTTAGAGGAGGTCCGGCAGGAGGTTGGTCCCGGGTGGCTGTCACCCGGGAAAATTTGAAATTAGGGTGCATAATCCTGCATTCTGGGCACCTTTGGCCGTGGTCAGGCGAAAAAGTAGTCCGGCCAGAGCGGGACTGGCCGGACCGGCTGCTACGCCCCTGGAATAGCAGCCTAGCCCCTGGAATTGCAGCCTAGCCCCTGGAATAGCGACCTAGCCCCTGGAATAGCAGGCTAGCCCTGACATCGGCTTCTACAGGTCTTAGCCCGGTATTAATATGCTACATCATGGTAAATGGTTGAAGTACTGTAATTTCAGAAATTTTCGGTGCTCAACATTTTCGGTATGAGGGCAAAACGCCTGTTTAGGTGAACTGAAATTTTCGGTACAGAGAAGCAGTTCCCGATTGGATTATGTGTGTTAGTGTTTGTTCGGTGTATTGAATTATTTTTAGGTGTGAAACAGATGCACCGAAAGTACCGAAAATAAAAGTACACCGATAAATTAGTGAAATAATATCTGTATGTGATCATACAGTAGTGTCTTGTACAAAACCCTACCTCTGTTGTCTCCTCGTCGGTTATTCATATATTATAGAAGCCTGTTTTTGAATACAAGCCTGATTTTTCGAGATACACTGTCCCCACGTAAGCCTGGTTTTAGTGTTTGCACACACATAGAAATACCTGTCTTGTATAGAAGCCTGTCTTATAATAGAAGACTGCAAAATGTTCCCCAAAAGTCTTGTAAGCCGCGGCTTTTATACACGATTTTACGGTATTCAAAATCGGTAACCCCGGATGCCTCGTTAGAAATAATATTAAAAATTCACTGTTCGCGATGAAGGGTGGCGGCGTTCCTACGAATACCTCATTAGGGTCCCTTTAGTTAATAGGAAAGTAGGTGATACTTCCTCCGCATCATTAAAATTGTCGCTTCCCGGAGCGATTTTTCAAATTTATTTTGTCCACTCGAAGGGCGAAGAAATTAGCTAGAAATTGAGGCTGAGCATTGTCGACGAACCAAGCTTTAGTCTGTGGCCTCCCGCTTCGCTGCACCTGCAGCTAAGGTCGACGTCTTCATCAGAGCTTGAGGTGGACCCTTCAGCACTCAACAATACGCTGAACAAGACGCGCGTTCAAATTCAGATCAAGAAACTTCGTTTTCAAGCGATCCATGCCTCCAGGTGGCAGGCGATGAAGGCAAGCTAGCATTTTTCAAGTACACTGAAGTGACTTTCCAGCGCGATAGGGTAAGCAGTTCCGCACCTTCTTTCCTTGGCAAGCTCTTCGTTGATTTTGTTGTTGTTTTCAGACCTGCTATCATCGCAGTAACATGTAGACAGCCAGCGCAGTTTCGGAATCCGAGAACACTTCGTTCTTGCCATCGTCAACTTCAGCAAGCAAATTCAGGAGAGATACCAGCATTCTTATACCCGAGCTTGCAATCTTGATGAATGCTCACGTGAGCGATGTGGGATGGCACGAACTCCAGAAAAAAACGATTCACGGTCTGGGGCGGAATAGTGCGGAGCGCGATGAATTTGTTTGGTGCGGAAGAGAGCTCCGACAAAGTCTGAAACCCCTAGGGCTTCAGAAACAAGTAGACGTTGCACAGGAAGGGTCGCACCAATGTTCAAACAAAGAAAACGGCTATTACCGACAGTCTGACTAAGGCGAGCCAAGTCACATAAACATTGCGATGTGCGAAGCGACAATTTTAATGGCGCGGAGGAAGCAATAAGTAAAAGTGGGGAGGCTTCCTGCAGTTTCATAAACAGTTTTAAAGAGGAGAGCACACACGCTCTCTTCCATTAACACTGCAATAATTCAACTCATTTCGCAATATTACGACGTTTCGGCAAATTGCCTTCATCAGGTAAATAGGTGGTGTTAGTCGATATCATACCATAACGTGTAGCTCTTTGGTCCTCTTTTCGTCTTATAAAATTAATAAATAGGATGCGTTGTCATTTTCAATACAATTCTCCACGAGCTTGTATATGCGTCTGTATGTTTGGTTGCGTCTGGCAGGCCAAGGTTCTAACTCCTACAACCACACTAGTTCTAGTAGACCAATAATGTCAATTACCTCCACAAAGCACACTCATCTGTCCCGCACCAGTTTTCAAGACAGGTACCACAGCACTTATACGGCGAGGAGAGACGTCGGCGAGAAGCATAGTGTTGCTGAGAGGGGGCGTGTGTCTAGTAAGTGTGTGTGTGTGTGTGGGGGGGGGGTGTAATTGTGTGTGTGTGTGTGTGTGTGTGAGCGTAAGTGCACGTGTGCATGTGTATGCGGGTGTGTGTGGGGGGTGTAAGTGTGTGTGTGTGTGTGTGTGTAAGCGTAAGTGCGTGTGTGCATGTGTGTGCGTGTGTGTGTGTGCGTGCACACGATTGTTTGCACGTATGTGCGCGTGTGTGCATGCATTCCGAGTTTTGCAGTGTATCTCACGCACATCACATGCTCTAAAGGCATCTTTGCCTACTGGATTGTTAAGACTGTTGTCCTAGCCTTAACGTTGATGGGGATACACAAGAGAGAGATTGGAAGGTTTGTCACAACTCTGAGTTTCACGTATTACTACGATCATCAGGCAAGTAACATTAGTAGGCGGGTAGTAACACGTGAAACTCAGAGTTGTGACAAACCTTCCAATCTCTCTCTTGTGTACAAGGCTCTGTTCTACATGGGTATTGAGCACTCTTCGGACAGTGAAGCACACCACTTGACTACGTTGATGGGGATACCAAATTACAGTGATTTTTCTTTCTTGTATGTCCTGGTCAAATATAGCTGCTTTTCATAGACCCCAATTATAGCACATTGCATGATTGAGCTGGTACACTCAACACCCAGTAAGGGGGGGGGGGGGGAGTCTAGCAATATCAATAATTTTCATGAAACGATAAAGTTTAGTTATGACCCTCCCCCACCCACCTACCCACTCCCTTCAACTGAAATAAATTGATTACACAGCTAGAATTGATTGATGTTTCAGCTATCGATATTTTTCAAAACGAAACTCTCCTCAACCCATCCACCCATAAACGAAACTTTTCTCTTTGTGAAAAAGATCGATAATTACGGACGGCCCCTACATTGTAAGCCCATTGTGCAATGACAGAATTTGTACCGCAAACACCCCACACAGCAACCTGGGCATGGTCGTCTGGGGTGTTGAACAGGGCATTGCTGATCCCAGCGTACTCACATAACAGTCCGTGCGCCAGGCCACTGAGTGGGCCGTTTTCATTTTCCTGGGTCCGATCCCGCGGGAAAAAGTCTGCACAAAACTGTGTTGGTGAAGATGATGATGACAATGGCAGTTGGGGGAGAAATTTGGCAATTGTTTTGGCCTTTCTCGCAGCCTGTCTTCGCTCCATTGATGTCTTTTGCAAGAAGTGCTACGAGGCACAGCTAGAATGGATAATAGTTGACAGCAGTGCAAGCATTCACAACAAAGCTATTACAGCTGATCGCTTGTCACACTCAGATCTGTGATAATCCTCTGGCTGAGCTAACAGCAGTACTGGGAGAACACATGGATGTTTGCACACTAGCACAAAGAAGTGAGTCATTCTCCTTCTGCGGAAAGGCTGCAATACCCAAGGTCCTCTTCGTGCTGTTCTCACACAATGCCAAGACGCGTTGGAGCACGATCTACCTGAGAAGACACACAGATCGCACAAGATAAGGCAGCATTTTAAGTTTTTAACGACAGGAGGAATAATGCATGAAACACAGAAAGTAATTCAATGGAAAAAAGTGCTCCGCTCTTTATATACTACACTTTTCCAATGTTATACAGATAATACACTGAACTCCATGGAAGTGGATTTGGTTGTCCCTATTAGTATAATTGCAGTGGGTGCTGCTTCACTTGAACCATATTTTGGTTCCAGTGAAGCAGCACTCACTGCAACAATTTGCAGAAAAATTTCTCAATCACATCGTCGCGCATCACATCGCGTCGCAGAAGTGATATTATGCATCGCGCTTTAGAATGTTGGCATGGCTGGGCATCACTGCCGGTAGTTCTGCCAAGAGGACGTAACCCGGATTATTAACCCCTGGTGGATCGGTTACACACAGAAACACAGCAGGTTCGAGGCAGTGTCTGCATGCGATACACCATGCACACAAACCTTCATAAGGTAAGGTTCTTATGAGAAAAAGCGCGCTTTCAATCTGGAAACCACAGCAGATCGTTGACGCACTGCCCCAGCCGGTACCTCAGTTTGTCGCTACGTAATGTGGGCAGCAAGCCCCTTCAGACCCCTCGTGCAAAGTTGCATGCTCTTGGGGCTATGGACTCTTGGTTCAGCCACCAAACTATGAATGCAGGGGAGCTGCGTCAGCGGCGTACATGAAACGAGACAGCATTCGGTTCGTTTCAATCGATAATATCAACAAAGAATGAATTATTACAATGACACCAAGAGAAGCTTTCATGGCAATTAAGTCCAGCATGTCCATCTGCAGCCATGCAGCAGCAGCAACGAGGGTACATCTCAAGAGAATACAACTACAAGTCCATACCCACTAAAATGTCATGCAAATTTTACAATAATTATACAGAGTATAAAGACATACAAATTTCGCACTTTTGGATTCCTCAACAGTACCATCCTAAGCACAGGCACACTAAAAGGGAAGAGAAAACATTTATTTATGACATCGTATTCCTTTGGATGCTTCTTTCTTCTTGTTGTGCTATTTTCAACAAGGCAACACTTGTGCTCGTAAAAATACTAAAAAACAATTTTGAGATTCCACTTAGTGCCATCGGTTATTCCAGGCAGGAATGCTCAAACCATTATCATTTCACTACACAACAATATGTACTTACTAAGATCCGCCATGAGAGCTTGGTGTCCGCGGCTCTTGGAAAGCGCAGCTCGTCTACTTCTCGATGCCAGTCGGCGAAACCAGCAAATCGGGGAGAGCAGTTTCTTCCATAAATAAAGGCCAAGATGGCGTTTGCGATTCAAATTTTCTACTCGGCGTCAAAGCACAACATTGAACTCATCATCTTCCATTGCTGCAAAGGCAAAGGAGCGAAGACAGGCCGCGAGAAAGGCCAAAACAATTGCCAAATTTCTCCCCCAACTGCCATTGTCGTCATCATCTTCACCAACACAGTTTTGTGCAGACTTTTTCCCGCGGGATCGGACCCAGGAAAATGAAAACGGCCCACTCAGTGGCCTGGCGCACGGACTGGGGTGTTGAACAGTGCATTGCTGATCCCAGTGTACTCACGTGCATTACTCTTACATTCCATATTTGGCAATGCGCAATGGGCACTAATAGTTGTTTGACTGTGTTGGTTTGTGTTTTGTTACATTCTCCCGTTGTTTACATGCAGAAACCTCACTGTCGCTGATGCAGAGCAACTCCCCGTCGCTTAGCCCCACGATCAGCAGGGCATCGATCCTCAGCAACGTGTCCGCTGTTGGTAGCACCGCCGGCGCCAGCAGTGGCTATAGTGGCAAAACTGCCGTTGCCACGAGTAACGTCAGTCAGCATATCGGCATGGATTCCGGCTACTCGACTTGGCAGCACGCACAGCATTATGATATATACGCGGCCACCGGCAGTACCAACGCCAGCAGCGGCGCATCAACGGCAAGAAGTAGCATGGGAACCGTTGGCAGTAACCTAGCAACCCTTGGCAGTAGCATAGCAACCCGGGACAGTGACGCACCACTGTCGCTCGAGGCCAGCATCGAGGTGTATGAGGAAACAGCTGGTGTGGCTGCATTGGCTGGCAATGCCGAGGGTACCTACAGTGATTCGCCATACGCGGCCACATCCCCCTACACAGCCACGTACCACAGCATGCGTAGGGATGAAATCTATGAAGCTATGGACTACGGCTGTCGGTTTGAACGGGCATCACACGACGACGACGAAGACGACAGCCACGGCAGTGCTGAAGTGCCCGCGGCAGCCGCGTCGCGTCTAGACAGAGTCGTCGATGCAGTGAGAACGCACAGCTGGAACAATCTGGTGTCAAAGAGCAGCACTGAGATACTGGCTGGTGGCGGTGCGGGTGGCAAAGCAACGGCGGACTGTGATTATGACATGTATGCCGAGACGAACAACGCCGTGTCGGTCAATCAGGATAAGCCGGCTCCAGGCAGCTGTGATGACAGCGAGGTGAGTGAACATGCGCTACTAGGCTCCGGTTCGGAGTATAGCTCGTACGGCGTGTCGCAGGGTACCCACCAGGGCGATGCCAGCCTGAATCCGAGCGCCGTCCGCCAGAACCTGGCAATGTCGGGCAGTTTTCCTGGCGACCAGAAAGAAGCGGACGGGTTTGCTTTCGCGGCGGCGCCGTCCCGAGACGCTAGCGGATATTGTTCGCCGAGCAACCAACCGGACAAGTATGCCACTGTTGACCTCACCCCAAGGCACAGCAGTCCCAGATTGCTGGACACCAGCCCTGCAAACAGCACCACCAGTAGTAGCAGAGGGAAGGAGGTGCGACTTTTCTCAATGTCTAGCACAATCCTGAGCGTTATAAGAGTCATGAGGCAGCGCCCTAAGCCAACGAAGCATGAGGCGGGCCAAAAGACGAGTGCAAAGCCACAAGGCAAAGGCACTGATGCGCACTCAAAGAGTGACTTGAACAAGCATGGCTCGGCGGCTGTCGAATGCAACACAGTGCAGTATGACCAACCACGCAGCGAAACAGCAGTTGGGCAAGCATCAACAAACCACTCTACTGCCCAGATGCGAAGGCAAGGTGCCATATCGAGCTGTGGCACGGCCTCGCACAGCTGTGGGCCATCATGCAGCGAGCGATACTGCGACGTCTTCGAGAGAGAGTCCGGCGCCTTTCAAGCAACAACTGCACCAACACACTACAACCGGATATACCAAGCCCAGTGCAGAAGTTCTGTGTCAGTGCAAGATACCATGCCACAGTTTCAAGCACCAGGCGAGCTGCCGACTGACTTGAAAACCAGTGGCAAAAGCAGCAGTGAAGTCAACAACCAACATCTTGCAGCCAACAAGCAATACAGCCATTTAGATGCGGCTGGGCGCTGTGAGCAAGCGAAGGGAGACTACAATAAGTCGTCAAACGTCAAGACGAGTAGTTCACTTCACAACACCAAGCTATCAGATCTGATATTCGAACAAGATGAGCATGAAAAGCTGCGTATCACACCGTTAAGAGACGCAGAACAAGACTCCATGGCTGAGAACCTCCTCTACCAACAGCAAGGACTTGGCAGTGACACAGGAAAACTGCCAACTTACGTGAAAAGCAGCGGCGAAAGCAGCAGCGAAGTCAGCAACCAACATCGTGCAGCCAACCAGCAATACAGCCATTTAGATGTGGCTGGCAGCTTCGAGCAAGCGAAGGGTGGGTACAATAAGTTATCCAAAGTCACAACGAGTAGTACAAAGCTCTCAGATTCGGTATTTGAACAAGACGAGTATAACAAGTTGGGTACCGCTTCGACAAGGGATGCCGAAGAAGACTCCATGCCTGAGAATCTTCTGAACGAACAGCAAGGACTTGACGGTGAGACAGGAAAGTTGCCAACTGAGGTGAAAACCAGTGGCGAAAGCAGCAGTGAAGTCACCAACCAACATCTTGCAGCCAACCGACAATACAGCCATTTAGATGCGGCTGGGCGCTGTGAGCAAGCGAAGGGAGACTACAATAAGTTGTCTTACATCAAGACGAGTAGTTCACTTCACAACACCAAGCTGTCAGATTCGATATTCGAACAATATGAGTGTCATAGGCTGGGCACTCCATCGTCAAGGGACACCGAAAAAGACTTCATGGAAGAGAACCTCCTCTACGAACAGGAGTGGTTCGAGGGCAATGTCGATAAAGTCGCACACGCTGTCTCTACTGCTTTCGACGAGTCAATCGCAAAGAAGAACCCTGTGTGCGAGCACCTACCTAACGGACGGCAGTGTCTTGACCGTGGAACTGTCAAATACGAAAACAGCGTAGTGTCTGAAACAGTGTGCAGCAGTAATCCCTCTGTCCCTGACACAACGTGCCATCACCATGATCACGCACAGAGCATAAATCACACAGAGACGGTCTGACTGGAACTCCTCCTCCACCCCCCACCCCCCCCCCCCTCCCCTCCCCCCCCCACACACATACATACATGACTGCACACTATAATTGCGAATCACACAGAGGCGATCTGACGGGAAATCCCCCCCCCCCCCCCCCCCCCACCGACCCACACACACATACACATGACTGCACACTGTAATAGCACATCACACCGGGTCCATCTGTCCAGAAATCCTCTACTTCCCGCTTCTCCCACTGCCACACACATCACCCACAAACACTCTCGTTTTACATCTGTCCACCTAGCACCTTCCCATTCTTCTTTCGTTTCTCACTGAATCTATTTTCGGGATGCCTTCATTGCCAAGAACGAAGATAACTCGCTTGGCAAACATTCACCTGTGTTATGTGGACATAGACAAAATGTACAGATACTAGTGCATTGATATTACTGTCGACCGTTGCATGTCACCATGCTTGCATAAGAACAAGAAATACATGTACATGACCGTATTGGCGAAGGTGTGATATTTCTTTTATAAGGGTACCTGGCTCATTTAAAACGAGAGAGCTTGGAAGCTCAGGGCCTTACGCTATGCTTTTTTTGCCTAGCTAGCTCATTTTATTATTATTATTATTATTATTATTTATCATCATGCATGTTATTAGAACTGATGGAAATGTGTTTTTCCATTGATTAGCTACATCAAACTTCCTCTTTGCATTCGAGGGTATACCGGTAATACGACACCGTCTACCACTTGAGTGACCGTTCCATATCCTTATTGACTTCTTTTTCCTTGGTGCAAGTCACACCATTGTATGTTCTTCACTATCTTTACCTTCACTGGGTCTTCACATTGTCTATAGCCTCATCTTTTACCTTTTCTTTTTCCTCTTTGCCTCATCGTTTGCGTCATCGGCGCTCTTTGAATTTGTGTGTCAACACTGTTGGGTTGTTCGATGTTAAATAATAAAATACTACTAATAATACTACTACCTTTATTACCTAGGCAAAAAAAAGCATATGGATGTTATAAATTCTTCATTTCTCCGATTTTTTCTCAAGACATAACCTGGGATTCAAACCCGCACTATCGCCCTCCATGCATTCCCCCAATACACTTCGCATACATACGAATTCTTCCAAGTTGCTTCACATTATGATCTTGCATTTGAAAGCCCTACAAGCATTTGAATATTGTGGCATCTGTTTGTGGCTAGCTGTCTTTGATGGTAAGTACGGCACGGGACAGGTACGAGATAGTGCAAGGTATGCCGATGGCACAAACAAACAAACAAATAAACACCAAATTAAAGCTGTGTGGACCCTGGCTAGCGCCAGACGTTACTGAAGTAACGTTTTCTGCATCGCTACGGGAATAAATATCAAATTAGAGCTGTGTGGACCTTGGCTAGCGCCAGACGTTACTGAAGTAGCGTCTTCTGCATCGCTACGGGAATAAAAGCATGTTTTATCGCAGTGAATGGGATTTCGGTCTTTGACCACTTTGTGGTGGGTCTCATCTACTCACCTCCCACCGCTTAGGAGCTGCATCTGCGCCTTGATCCAAGAGGGTGGTGGCGTTCCTGCGGATGCGGAAAACTGGGCCTTTGGCCGAGTCTCACGCGAACCGTGAAATTGTTTTCGTTCATCTTTTTTTATTTACACTCATAATACAGTGTTGTATTCTGAAGGACCACGAAGCGACTTTTTGTGTGTGGCGGATGTATTACAATGAATCATGTCATGTATGCACACTATATTCACAGCGGGGATACCACTGGCATCCCGAATGAAATTGACTATGTCCCAGGTACTTATCGCGTGGCACTATCGCGCTTGGCAAATCGCTGGAAACTTGCTCAATGCGCACACCCGTTTCACATGAGAAAGACAGACAAACAGACAGACGGACAGACAGACAGGCAAACAGACATACAGAGAGAGAGAGAGAGAGAGACAGAGACAGAGAGAGACAGAGTGTGTGTGTGTGTGTGTGTGTGTGTGTGTGTGTGTGTGTGTGTGTGTGTGTGTGTGTGTGTGTGTGTGTGTGTGTGTGTGTGTGTGTGTGTGTGTGTGTGTGTGTGTGTGTGTGTGTGTGTGTGTGTGTGTGTGTGTGTGTGTGTGTGTGTGTGTGTGTGTGTGTGTGTGTGTGTGTGTGTGTGTGTGTGTGTGTGTGTGTGTGTGTGTGTGTGTGTGTGTGTGTGTGTGTGTGTGTGTGTGTGTGTGTGTGTGTGTGTGTGTGTGTGTGTGTGTGTGTGTGTGTGTGTGTGTGTGTGTGTGTGTGTGTGTGTGTGTGTGTGTGTGTGTGTGTGTGTGTGTGTGTGTGTGTGTGTGTGTGTGTGTGTGTGTGTGTGTGTGTGTGTGTGTGTGTGTGTGTGTGTGTGTGTGTGTGTGTGTGTGTGTGTGTGTGTGTGTGTGTGTGTGTGTGTGTGTGTGTGTGTGTGTGTGTGTGTGTGTGTGTGTGTGTGTGTGTGTGTGTGTGTGTGTGTGTGTGTGTGTGTGTGTGTGTGTGTGTGTGTGTGTGTGTGTGTGTGTGTGTGTGTGTGTGTGTGTGTGTGTGTGTGTGTGTGTGTGTGTGTGTGTGTGTGTGTGTGTGTGTGTGTGTGTGTGTGTGTGTGTGTGTGTGTGTGTGTGTGTGTGTGTGTGTGTGTGTGTGTGTGTGTGTGTGTGTGTGTGTGTGTGTGTGTGTGTGTGTGTGTGTGTGTGTGTGTGTGTGTGTGTGAAAGAGAGAGAGGGGGGGGGGGGGGGAGGGAGAGGAGAGAGAGTCGATAGACAGAGACACAGAGACAGACAGAGATAGACAGAGACACAGAGACAGAGATAGACAGAGACGGACAGAGATAGAGACACAGACACAGAGAGAAAACGATTTGGATACCGTTACTCAAACTCCCTGGTGCACAGTCAAGACCAGTTATTGCACTTGTCGGCACTTCACATTTCCCACACCTCATGGCCCAACCATGAAGACCGCATGCATGACAATCACCTGAGCTAGGTATTTTGTTTGCTGAGGTCTCCACCACTGACTTGTTATTAATGTCCGCACGCAGACACTAGCAGAATTATTCCGTAGTGTATAGTATCAAAGCCTGCCTCATATAGAAGCCTGTGTTCCAACACGAGTCTGATTTTTCAAGGTACATCGTCGGCAAATAATCCTGGTTAGGGAATCACCTGATTTGATTACTAGTCGAATGATACAGGCGACATATGCATGGAGGACTGCAGCGCTGGATGGCCAAATCACATGCCAATTTCAGGCAAAAAAAGGTTCACCATGCCCACAATCACTAGTTTGTGAAACTCAATGCCACAGGTGCTGCAAAAGTGTTGACCCCCCCCCCCCCAAACACAAGATACCATGTATGTGTTAAAAAAGCTTTATTTTAGTAAAAAAAACCGGACCATTACACTTTACAGTACAGTTGTGCTATCAGAATCTCACCTGAGGCTGAGACCTAGTACCAAGAGTTCATAACCCCCAAGAGTGTGCAACTGGCATAGACCCAGCGCTCGGCGAAATTCCTACATTACGTCATGCGCAGCGTGTCATCCGAGGCAAATAATTATTTTGGGTTCTTTGCGATTTCTAGAAACTATACCCTGAACCACTTCTAACTCAAGGCTGTAGGCTCGACTTTTCGAAGCTTTTTTTAAGACAATTCGGACGTAGAGTCACCATTAACATTGCATCGAAAAAATTAATGGTTTTGTCTTTGGATCGTGTGCTTTGTTTTACTTCTAGTAATTCTTGAGGCTCAGACCAGATTCGCAGTTTAGGCAGTTTACCCTGAGGAAGCATCCTGGTTTGACTGTAAAATTTTCGAAGAATTCATCCGCGTGACTCATCGCACTGCACCAAAAATGACGCAATGAAGGAATTCCGCCGAGCGGGCTTCCATACACAGACTGATCAGGAGTTGCACACTCTTGGGGGTTATGAACTCTTGCTAGTATACATTGTACCTCCAACAGTCCCAGCCGTTGTCAATCTTTTTGCGTTAGCGATACATCGTGAGACGTTTTTATTGTCCCCATTTGAAATTTGAAATCGCAGTAATTCGTTATAAGTTGCTCATTGTACCATTTGCTGTACTTCTATTTAAATAGGCAACTGTGCTGTTACCATCACGGTATTCAGCGCATTGCACCCTAGTTCTATTTCACTGTTGTTGTCCTTGAAACAAGTGGCCACTGATACCCATCCGTACTGTCCAGGTTTGACGATGTGTTTTGTGCGTTTGAGTTGATAATGCACGGGTGTGAGTGGTTTGTACGCAAGTCCCCTTGTCCCCTGGACATTCCAACGCCGAATAAGCCACATATTAAGAGCTGGCGTCTTGATAGACTCTTGGTATCAAGGTTTACTGGTGAGATGTAGATTTCGTCAGGGAGGTGAAAAAGGAGGCAACTGATATTGGAGGTCGATAACTTGAAAAAAAACCAACAAGTGTTTCGGAAAGAGAACCAAACGTTTCAGCCCGGGTGCAGTACACTACAGAACAGTAATACATATTTTCGTTCAATAGTTTTCCAATAAGGAGAAATATAGAAACATCGTGACATTGGACCTGACGACCGGAAAGTACTGCCCTTACCGGAAACCGAACGACAAGCCGATGTACATCAACTGCCAGTCAAATCATCCACCTACAATCATCCAGAACCTACCTTCATCGATCAGCAGAAGACTAACAGATATTTCCAATGATGAAGACGTCTTCAGAGATGCGACTCCGATCTACAGTGACGCGCTGAGGAAGAGCGGATACCGGGAGAACGTACAGTATTTTGACAAAAAAGAAGAAGAAAGGGAATCGCCCCCGGAACATTATGGTTCAACCAAACATTTAGCAAGAACGTCGACCCCGACATCGGACATCTCTTCCTCCAGCTAGTGGCCAAACACTTCCGCAAAGGCTCAAGCCTCAACAAAATCTTCAACCGGAACTCTGTAAAGGTTAGCTACAGTTGCATGCAGAATATGGCCACTATCATCAAACAACACAATAACACAATTCTACGAC